GCGATACTACTGCCTGCCTGTGTGATACTACTGCCTGTCTGTGTGATACTACTGCCTGTGCTGTGTGATGCTACTGACCACACTGCCTGTCTGTGTGATACTACTGCCTGTCTGTGTGATACTACTGACCCGGCTGCCAGTCTGTGTGATACTACTGCCTGTCTGTGTGATACTACAACCTGTCTTTGTGATACTACTGACCACACTGCCTGTCTGTGTGATACTACTGCCTGTCTGTGTGATGTTACTGCCTGTCTTTGTGATACTACTGCCTGTCTGTGTGAAACAACTGCCTGTCTGTGTGATGTTACTGCCTGTCTGTGTGATACTACTGCCTGTCTTTGTGATACTACTGCCTGTCTGTGTGATACTACTGCCTGTCTGTGTGATACAACTGCCTGTCTGTGTGATGCTACTTCCTGTGCTGTGTGATACTACTGCCTGTGATGTGTGATACTACTGCCTGTGCTGTGTGATACTACTGCCTGTCTTTGTGATCCTACTTCCTGTGCTGTGTGATACTACTGCCTGTGATGTGTGATACTACTGCCTGTGCTGTGTGATACTACTGCCTGTCTGTGTGATACAACTGCCTGTCTGTGCGATACTACTTCCTGTGCTGTGTGATACTACTGCCTGTGATGTGTGATACTACTGCCTGTGCTGTGTGATACTACTGACTGTCTTTGTGATCCTACTGCCTGTCTGTGTGATACTACTGCCTGTCTGTGTGATGTTACTGACCCCTCTGCCTGTCTGTCTGATACTACTTCCTGTGCTGTGTGATACTACTGCCTGTGCTGTGTGATACTACTGCCTGTGCTGTCAGATACTACTGCCTGTCTTTGTTATACTACTGCCTGTCTATGTGATACTACTTTCTGTTCTGTGTGATACTACTTCCTGTGCTGTGATACTACTGCCTGTGCTGTGTGATACTACTGACCCCGCTGCCTGTCTGTGCGATACTACTGCCTGTCTTTGTGATACTACTGCCTGCCTGTGTGATACTACTGCCTGTGCTGTGTGATGCTACTGCTTGTCTGTGTGATACCTTTCTGTGTGATACTACTGCCTGTCTGTGTGATACTTCTGCCCGTCTGTGTGATACTTCTGCCCGTCTGTGTGATACTTCTGACTTCTGCCTGGATTTCTGATAGATGATGGGGATGGGATGTAGAGTCACGATCGAAGTAAGCTGACCTTCACATGTCAGCTTGTCCGTTAATCTGTGAGACCGTACCATGTCACGGCCCGAAACGTTTGTAATGGTCATGCAAAGAAGAATATTGAAGTTTTATTTCAACAGATCCACTCGACAAACATGTTCTGTGTCGGTTTGTGCTTGTACCTCCATGTGCCTGATATACTCCACTCCACTCCAGCACATAACCGGTTATACTCGATCTGTATGGGCTAATTCAGATTCATGCTGAACGATGTATCTATGCTATAGAAATCTTGTCAACAAAATCTAAGTCATGGGTAAATAACGAATGAATTATACGTGAGTACAACAAAGACACTTCAATCTTGTCGGCTTGGTCTGAACCTCTTACTTCAACTGAGTTAGCGTTGTGGCTGAAAGTGTGGATGTGGTCGTCTCATCTGTATAGGATTACCTATGTACATTGAGAGATCCCCAACTGTAAACATAGGTACTAGATTCCTATCGTTCATGAATATATTAGCTTCGACGTATTTCCCTCATGTTTCACTTTGATGTCCAGCCATCGTATCGGCGGACCTGGTATACGCCTGTTGGTCATCTAATGGTGAGTGAGTGAATTGAGAATACATTATTTGCCTCGAACAGGAAACGTTCTTTAATATAATTATCAGGCTCGTGACAGTGGAATACTGATAACTGCTTAAGTAGTTTGGTGTATTACCTTCTGTCATATGTGATGTTTTTATGTTTGAATTCAGCATTTACAGCTGTGTGACCACTTCGCTCCAGAGTAAAGACCTTACATGGCAAAGCCTTGATACCGTTATTTGTAGCTGAATAACTACGGATCTCAGCATACAGCCTGAATCACACTTACTTCTTTATTCCCATTCTGTGACTATTTCCGTTAGATTTCACCAGCTAAACACACTGTAACTTACTTTATAGGCTATGTACATGTATCTGACATCAAGGATTTAATTTCCAGTGTTCCATGTGCTCTTTGTTATGTTTGGGGGCAGATATCACTACGGACTCAAGAGTGTGGACATAGTTGTGGGGTGTGGAATTACCCACGACTGTTTTAACACAGACAACATTAACAACTTTCCTTAAGAAAGCTGTTGGAGAATGTGTGTGCTTCTGCACTGAGTAGGGTTCGGTGTTGACTTGGTGCTGATGGCTTACATAACGCAATGATAGCAATCTATAATTACATTTTTGGATGAAAAACACAACTCAAACAGTTCATTGATGCGTGTTGTACAATTATTCGTCTTTCGAGGATTATCAACAGGGTGTGGTTAGGTCAGTACGCTCAGAGACCACGCTGGTACCGTCACTATGACAGACAATGCAATGCATGAAAAATATAGGACTCTTTCTCCTGAGATAGATTCTGGCATACACAGCTCTAGAAAGTGTGTACTCATTGGGATACAGCACATTTGCTTGGGATGTAAATATATATAAATAAATATTTTGAAAAATTCAAATATTAACAAGATACCTACTTCGCGAGGTCGGTTAGTAACTGAAATTAATTTGGGAGATGATAGAAGGCGTAAGGCCATTAGTGCAAATACCAGTTTTGATTTCCATTCGCTCTCAAAGGGTATCATTTCGGTACAATATAGCCTACCTTTATGAATAGCAACTTCTTTTAATTTCGTGAGTGCGACGTTTCGATACGGATTCTTGTACCGTTGACAAGCAGGAATGCACTCACGAAACAGAAGACGTTGTTATCCATAAAGTTGTGTCTATAGTTTACTTTCCAACTTCTTACCTGCCACCCAAACAAGTTATCATTTCGGGTAGATCAAGGCGCGACAAATGAAAGACGTTGGGGTCAAAGTAATGTGATTATTGGCAACATATGGTTTCATTGCTCTTGCTAATACAAGCCCCTTAGGATCGCGAGGTACATGCGACAAATAAATACCGATAGGGTGCTTATATTATCTTGTGATGGAGTGTCATCATTCATCGATCAACTGGATTCTTAATCGAGTATTTTCCCACCGTTATGTTTATTTGCCTGATCATAGTCGACGGCGTTCAGACATAACTCGGTCACTTTGAGAATGATGATCAGTATGATGTCAGTTTTCAAATGCGCCGGGTCTTTAAATCTCACTTTGAGTGTGAAATATAACTTGTAATCAATCAGCACATAAAATCCAGATATCATCACCTCTCATTCACTCAACACATTCATATACATGTGGTTTCTTGTACTGCCGCCTGGTGACACTCCTGGTGACACTCATTGCATCTCACTCACAGACCCATAAGGGCATCATGTTTTTATGTGTTTCACGTAGCCACCAAATTCTGAACATTGGTCGGTCGGTCGGAAAACAAAACAAAACGTAATGAAGACAAAATTATCTGAATAATTATGTCTTTGATTCTCATTTATTGTAATTCTTATTACAATTACCGCCGTGATATTGCTGGAATATTGCTAAAAGCGGCGTAAAACTAAACTCAGTCAGCTTATTACAATTCCTCGCGTTCTTTGGACTTGTGGCAGCGACTGATTAGAAGATAAACGTTTTATATGACGAGGCATTACGTTTTAGGTTCGAGTCGGCGGTGTTTTGGGGAGTCGGCAATAAAATTAGAAGGGTCGGACGGGCGATGAGAAACACAGAAAATAAAATTGCTGCCCTAACACTATTCACTACACAACTCCTGTTCCCTCCTCACGCCGAAGATCCGGGTTCAAATTCACCACATGGGTCTTATGTGTGAAGCCCATTTCTGGTGTCCCCCGCAGTGATATTGCTGGAATTTTTCTAAAAGCGGCGTTAAACCATACTCACTCACTATTTTTAATTACTATCGGCAATCATCAGTACGATAGCCGAACCTACTAATGTGACGTTTAGTAGTTACTATACTGAGACATGTATGTACCTGAGGTAGCTTCCTGGTTCGCGATAACAAGTGCCACTGTAACTATGTGTAATCTGGGTGTCAGATAAAACTGGAGGTAATAACTGCGTCATACTAGGGACAGATAGCGGAATTGTTAGGAGAGACCACATACATCATGTAGCCTACTTGCACCCATTACACTTTGTACCAAAAACCATGGGTCACATAACGAAGATCGGCGAAATGCATCTACGAAAATGTCTATGACGAGACAATCAGACATATGGGCTTCTCACCTTGTTCACCAACCGCCCTTAGAGTAAACATGACTTGCCCGTATGAAGAAGCAGAGTTTACCAACGCAATGACAACTGTTTTAAGACCCTTCCATTACCACACTCCAAAACACACACACACACACACACACACACACACACACACACACACACACACACACACACACACACACACACACACAGAGAGAGACAGACACACAGACAGACAGACACAGAGAGAGACACACACAGAGACAGAGAGAGAGAGACACACACAGACAGACAGACAGACAGACAGACAGACAGACACATACACACACACACATTCACAGACAGACAGACAGACAAACAAACAATAACCATGCAGAAACGCTCACTCATATCTTTATAAGGATGAGCCACATCACATCATGTTTTAACAATAAATATGTCAGATCCTGACAAAGTGTACCCCAAGGACATTTGCACACAGGTGCCCCCTACATCGTAAGCCACTTTCATTTGAAGCTAAGTCATCCGTTGAAATATTCACGATAAGAAGTATTTACATATATAATAATATCTTGTCCTCGACTTACCGTAATTCTGAAAGTCAACAAGTGTGCAGGTGTTTCTGTATTTTCAATAACACAAACCACAAAGACTATATGAAGGTGCGTATGTCCTACCTTGGCCAGCTACTGCAGGACGCCTTTACCACTTGGATATCTTCTCAACCAGTCCCGTCTGTCGCCGGGTCAGCTATGTATCGTTCTCTCGTCGGTGTGTTTACGTTCGTCGTAGACCCACGTGACACGTTTGTATAGTCTCATTGTGACGTCACCTAGCCTGCAAACATGTTTGCGTTACGGCTGTTAGGTTGCATGATATGTTGTTCTCCTGGCCTGATGAAGTTATGATGGAGACACCCGGCTGCCGCATGTATCAACAGTTTCATGGATGAACTTTGAGTCCTTATGATTCGTTTTTGGTGTAAACTAATTAAATACCTTTCCAACGAACTCAATCCAAACATTCATTTATCATTCTATTTTGGGGTATCACGAAGTATCGAATATAGATCACATCGTTATGAAATTCCGACTCATGTTGGAAACAATCAAATCTAAATCCATTTTATAATAGCTCAAGTTAAAACTATATACAGTTGGCAGGTACGGATGATTGAATATTTTATATTTGATTTGCCAGTGTGATGCAGAAGAATATCTAGTACTTGGTGAAAGCACTTCATAGCCACGAAAAAAAATATGCTGTACGAAATATCTCACACGAAAGATAGACAAACCTAACTTCTTTGTCATTTCAATTTGACATTCCAACGTTACCTCAACACTGAGAGAGACCAGAAGCTTAATGAGTATGAAATGCGGCCAGTTATCTATGCACTAAGACGCCCTTTCGGTTTATTTTACTTGAAACATACAATCGACTGGACGATTAAGCGCAGCGTTGAGATAATACAATGATTGAGTGAAAAAACCCAATACTTTTGGGATTATTCCAGTAATGTGACGACAGGAAACACAGTGTACTCATGGGGTGAGTCGAACCCGGGCCTTCGGCCACAGAACGATTGATATACAAGGCTCAAATAGTGGATCCCACTTCTTTCATCCATGAAAATCTATTGAAAATCAAACAGAAAATCGCTACCATAGAACATATGCAACATCCACAACTTTGTTTTGTTTGAGTGAGTTAATGCTTAAAGTGAAGCAAAACAAGGAACCAGCTGTACCCAGTTTCGTCACCATTACATTTGGCGATGAGCCTACAAACACACGACCTTCTGACATGAAGCCGTTACATCGGTGTCTTGGACAGTGCCTCATTTGCTGACTGCCATTCCATCTCTTCAGCACACTTCACCTTCTCCATACATGTCACCCCGTCTGTACGGAACACTTCGCTCTGTACAGTCTCGTTACTTAGTTTGCACCGTACAGTACACTTTGGCTGCACAGTGCACGTCCACAGGTGTGTGCAAAACACTTGATCTATACGCTACACTTCTCTCCGCCTACACAGTACACAGGTCCATTTATACAGGTCGGTCACCACAGCCTAGACAGGATACACTTCATCCTCTCTTTAATACACACGCTACCCTGTATATATAGTACACAAAAAATACGTCTATACACAGACCCACACTACGTCTCCACAGTATTATCCAGTCTGTCTCTACACAGACCCACACTACGTCTCCACAGTATTATCCAGTCTGTCTATACACAGACCCACACTACGTCTCCACAGTATTATCCAGTCTGTCTATACACAGACCCCACTACGTCTCCACAGTATTATCCAGTCTGTCTCTACACAGACCCACACTACGTCTTCACAGCATTATCCAGTCTGCCTCTACACAGACCATCACTACGTCTCCACAGCATTATCCAGTCTGTCTGTACACAGACTCACACTACGTCTACACAGTATTATCCAGTCTGTATATACACAGACCCACACTACGTCTCCACAGTATTACCTAGTCTGTCTCTACACAGACCCACTACGTCTCCTCCAGTCTGTATGTACACAGACCCACACTACGTCTTCACAGCATTATCCAGTCTGTCTCTACACAGTATTATCCTCTCTGTACAGGTCTCCTCCAGTACTATCCAGTCTGTCTGTACACAGACCCACACTACGTCTCCTGTATTATCCAGTCTGTCTGTACACAGACCACACTACGTCTCCACAGTATTATCCAGTCTGTATCTACCAGACCTCTACGTCTCCACAGTATTATCCAGTCTGTCTATACACAGACCACTACGTCTCCACAGCATTATCCAGTCTCTCACAGCATTATCCAGTCTGTCTCTACACAGTCTGTCTCCAGACACTGTGTCTGTCTCCACAGTATTACTAAGTCTGTGTGTATCCAGTCTGTACGTCTCCACAGTGTTATCCAGTCTGTCTGTACCTGACCCACACTACGTCTCCACAGTATTATCCGGTCTGTCTCACAGACCCACTCCGTCTCCACAGCTTATCCTGTCTGTCTCCCATGTCAGTCACTACGTCTACACGGTATTATCCAGTCTGTCTCTACACAGACTCTTTCGGTGTCTCCACAGTCTTATCCGGTCTGTCTCCACGTCTCCACAGTATTATCCGGTCTGTCTCACGGTCTGTCTTCTACGTCCACATGTCTGTCCGGTCTGTCTCACAGACACCACTACTCCATGTGTATTATCCAGTCTGTCTCACAGAGACCACACTACGTCTCCACAGTGTTGTCCGGTCTGTCTCTGGGGTTTCCACTCCACAGTGTCAGTCTGTCTACGGTATCCACACTCTCACGGCATTATCCGGTCTGTCTGTACAGACCACTACGTCTCCACGGTGTCCCAGTCTGTCTCTGTGGTCCACTACGTCTCTCACCACTGTCCATTGTATTCTGTCTCTACAGCGTTATCCACCTGTCTTACACGGACTCCTACACACCGGTCGTCTCCAGAGTCTGTCTCCAGTCTGTGGGTCTTCCGTGTTATCCGGCCTGTCTGCTGTCTCCTGGCCGGTCTGTCCACTGTGACCCACTACGGTCTCCACGGTGTTATCCAGTCTGTCTCTACACAGACCCACACTACGTCTCCACGGTTATCCGGTCTGTGTGTGTGTCCGGTCTGTCTGCGTCTTGTCACCTGTCTTGTCCGGTGTGTCCGGTCTGTCTCTTACGTCTGGTCTCCGGTGTGTCGGTCTGTCTGCGTCTCCGGCGTTATCCTGTCTGTCTCTGTCTCCATGTCGGTCTCGCGGTGGTGTCCGGTCTGTCTGTCTCCACGGTGTGTCCGGTCTGTCTCTACACACACTCACAGGTGTGTCCACAGTCTGTCTGTCTGTGCTCTGCACTGACGCCACGGTCTGTCTCCACGGCATCGGTCTGCGTCTCCGTCTGTCGGTTATCCACGGTCTCCGGGCCGTACGTCTCTGCGGCGTTACGGTATCCGGTCTGTCTCTGCACGGACCCGGTCTGTCTCTCTCACACAGTCTCCTCCGGTGTCCGGTCTGTCTATGCCAGTGTCCACTCTGTCTACGTCTCCACAGTGTTATCCGGTCTGTCTCTACACACCCACACTACGTCTCCACAGTGTTATCCAGTCTGTCTCTCACAGACCCACACTCCGTCTGTCACAGTGCGTCTCCACGGTTATCCAGTCTGTCTCTCACAGTGTTATCCGGTCTGTCTCCTGCGGACCCACCTCTACACGTCTCCACAGTGTTATCCAGTCTGTCTCTACACAGACCCACACTGCGTCTGCAGCATTATCCAGTCTGTCTCTACACAGTCTCCACGGTCTCCACAGTATCTTCCGGTCTGTGTTACACACCCCACTCTCCTGTCTGTCCACAGCGTTATCCAGTCTGTCTCACAGGACTCCACTCTCGTCTCCACAGTCATTATCCGGTCTCTCTGCTCTTATGACCTGACTACGTCTCCACAGCATTATCCAGTCTCTCTCTACACTCCGGCGGTTATCCAGCATCTGTCTACGTCTACCACAGTTCTCTCCACTCTGATTACACCTGTCTGTCCACTCTCACTAGGTCTCCACAGTGTTATCCAGTCTGTCTCTACTCAGACCCACACTACGTCTCCACAGTATTGTCCAGTCTGTCTGTCTACACACACCCACTACGTCTCCACAGTGTTATCCAGTCTGTCTCTACAGACACTACGTCTCCACGGTGTTATCAGTCTGTCTCTGCACAGACCACACTACGTCTCCACAGTGTTATCCAGTCTGTCTCTACACAGACTCACACTACGTCTCCACAGTATTATCCAGTCTGTCTCTACACAGACCCACACTACGTCTTCACAGTGTTATCCAGTCTGTCTCTACACAGACCACACTACGTCTCCCTGGTATTATCCAGTCTGTCTCTACACAGACCACACTACGTCTCCACAGTATTATCCTGTCTGTCTCTACACAGACCACACTACGTCTCCACAGTGTTATCCAGTCTGTCTCTACGGGGACCCACACTACGTCTTCCACGGTGTTATCCAGTCTGTCTCTGTACCACAGACCACACTGTCTCTCCACGGTATTATCCAGGTCTGTCTCTACACCTGACTTACTACGTCTCCACGTATTATCCAGTCTGTCTCTACAGACCCACACTACGTCTCCACAGCATTATCCAGTCTGTCTGTGTCCACAGACCCACACTGCCTCCTCTGTACCATTATCCAGTCTGTCTGTACACAGGACCACACTACGTCTCCGGTGTTATCCAGTCTGTGTGTGCACAGACCTCTCCTGTCGTTATCCAGTCTGTCTATACAGACCCACTGCGATCTCCGGTGTTGTCCGGTCTGTCTTCCATTATCCACTACGTCTCCACAGTCGGTCAGTCTGTCTTTACACAGTTATCCGGTACTGTCTCCACAGCCATCCGGTCTGTCTCTACACAGACTCACACGATCTCCACAGTGTTATCCAGTCTGTCTGTCTTCTGGACTGTCACACTCTGTCTTCTCACATTATTATCCAGTCTGTCTGTGGGCACAGACTGTCTCTACGTCTCCACAGTGTTATCCGGTCTGTCTCTACGGCGATCCGGTCTGTCTCCACAGCATTATCCAGTCTGTCTATCTCTGTCTGGACCCACACTACGTCTCCAGAGTCCGGTCTCTCTGTACCTGGTCTGTCTCCTGGTCTCCACAGTATTATCCAGTCTGTCTCGGCACTGACCACACTCACGTCTCCACAGTATTTATCCAGTCTGTCTCTGGGCCAGACCACACTATCCGTCTGTATTATCCCGGTCTGTATGTACACAGACCACACTACGTCT